TCTTACAACTCCTTGTCTTGTTGCCACATAAAAGTAAATACAGCAAAGTAAAACTCCCGAGGTTTGCAAAGAACCTCAAGCAGGCTGTTTACACTTTTCTAATTGCCTCTGTTTAAAAGGGGTTCACCTTCTTAAGGGAAAAGAAAAAGTCGGGGTTTCTGAGAAGAGCGTGGTTTATTGATTACCAGTTTCTTTCCTTCACCTTCCTCGTTTTAACCACTGCCTGAGTGCACACTCTGTCTATGGAAAACAGATACTCCCGGTAACATTATTTAATGAATCATTGTAAAAAATATTGACTCTGGAATTTGAGTTGATTCAACTGATTTGTAGTTTTCAAACTTGAGAAGCAAGCAGCCACTCAGTCACAGTGTCAGCTCACAAAGAGAAAGCACACTCGAGAGGTGTTGCTTACAGCGACCAGCGAGGGCCAGGCCGCATCTGTCTTGCCATCCTGCACTCAGTCTTGCTTAGGAGCTACTAATATCAACACCAGTGCTCACATACAAAGCCCATTAGTTTATTTTTCCCGTTTCCCTGGGAGTTGTCCAAGAATGGTTAAACATAGGAGTCAACAGACTGTTTTATGTTTGATTACTAGCCAAAGCTGATAGAAGTAGCTGTGGTGGTTTAGAAAGATGTGCTAAGGTTGGAGCGTGGATCATTAATATACTGATCAGAACTTCATATCCAAAAGACACCGCTGACTTTTTTACCTTTCATTTCCAGCCTGGATGTGTAAATACCACCGAAGTGGACATTAAGAAGTCATCCAGGATGAGAAACCCACACAAAACACGGAAGGTAAGAAATCAATATTTGTTGTTCTTATCTTGGTGATGAGTTGAACTGTTGAGAGGATTTTGCTCAAAAATTTTTTCTCAAAATCCCTATTTCACATGGTAGACTCTGCCATCTTCGACCTGCTCCTCTCTGTTGCTGGATTAGAAGAAAATGTGGGAATTCGAGTCTAGTTTTCTGTCATTCCCTGTCTCTTCAGGAAATAACCCCATCCTAGTTCTTGAGCATACTGAAGTCAGAGGCAGGCACTGTGTGTGTTAGGACTGGCTCGTACAAGATGAAAAATGTATGCTGAGGACACTCTCCTTCACAGAGGAAAGCTGTCCACAGAAGATGAGGAAAGGTACATGGAGATGAGCTGAGAAATGTGATACTACTGAGAGAAGAGCAGTTTTAGAGAAGAGTCTTGAAAAAAGGTCTTCGTCAAGATGTTCCATTGCAGATGTTCCATGAGAACCTTTTTCAACACTTTGTGACAGAATCACAAGCCGTTATATTTAGTATTTATGTGAAAAGAAATAATAAGACAAGGCTACCCTGAATTAAGGACATTTTAAATAATCATTTGAAAACACCTAGCAGTAGTATAACTGAATTCCAGAATTTGTGTTGCCTGCCACCACCAAATACCAAGAACACAGATAGGAACTGAGTCTTTAAGCTCTACTTTATGCCAAAGGCAGGCCATTCGGCGGAGATGGGGGTCAACAACCTAAGGAAGCCAACCAAATGTGTCACTGCAAACGGACTGTTTATAGTGAGTTGAGCAAAGTCAGCTGTTCATCAGTGGTCAGGCCCCACAACTTGTTACTGCTCTTCTGGGCCTCCAGATTCAAGCACATCCCGTCTGCTGAACCAGGTCCTCTGATGGTACTGCTTCCGGCACTACTCCAGGCGTGTGCTGGCCTATAAAACCAACTCAGAGCAGACAAGCTCTAAGAAGGGTGTGTACATGCAGATTTCTCACAGTGCCATGCGCAGCGTCCTCCCCAGTTCCCAGACGCCGTTAGCGACCATCCCTAGAGCTACAGGGCCTGCTTCAGGTCAGAGATGGTGCACTGCCTTCACGCAAGCACCTGTGTGGTGTTCACAGCATGCTCCTGGTGCGGGGCCCTCTGGCGTAGGCCAGTGCATGCAGCAGGCAGTTACATCAAACAAAACGAAAAAGCAAAATATGCCAAAGCTGTCCACAGGCCCACAATGCTCAGGAACAAAGGAGTTCAGGTAGACAGAGATCAAAGGCAAAAAATCCTTCCACTTTTTGTTTTTTTATTTGCAACATGAATAATCTGAGCTTTCTGTTCAGTGAATTTGGCAATGTCAGGTTCAAACAACACAATTCTTTAAATTACTCAAGCCCATGATTGTGCCTCAGTGACCCCGGCTCTCTGGGACAGCTCGCCTGGCCTGGCCTGAGCTGAGACGTGTGTTGGGGGCTCTGGCCACTGCGCACAACGGGGTTCTGTCGGTACATTCAGGTGCCCCCCCATAGCGGATCGCAGAAACAGCTCGCGGAGTCATCTGCTGTTCTCCTCAACTGTGAGTTCTCACTGCAAGTTAGTGGAAGAAAATAACCTTTTCTTTCTCACTTTCTGATTTATGTGGACCATTCGGGCATCAAAGCTGTGATGCTCCCAAGGTGGCTACGCCCCGCCCCACCCCGCCCATGCTGTTGTGTAGATGAGAGGGCAGGACAGCACAGACAGAATCCCCCCCAGCAACTGCATAGGCCAGAACTGCAACAGCGCTACGGGCCGTGTCGTTCCCCACAGCCAGAACCAAACGACTGATCGTCCCTCCTGAAACAAGATCAGTGTTTGGTAGGTGAGGTAGTTGCCAATATTAAAGCAAATTTCCTCTGACAACTGACCCCCACAGATAGATAGGAATGAAAGTCAACGTGCTTCACCAAAGTCTGGAACAGGTATAATTCTGTAGGCTTTGAGGAATATGTCCACCCCCACAAGGCATAATGTCAAGTTTTGCTCACATAGATCCTCCCCACAAGGCAAAATCAGGGGGAGTCAGAAAAGTTTGCATCAGGTACACCAGCGTCTTTATCCTATCTGCCTGGGTGATGTTTCCCTGAGGCACTAACACCGACTTAGGAACACAAACACCGTGTTACTGTCTTTTAAAGTCACTTTTAAATCTGACAGTCCAGCACTCCTCCAGATGGGTCCCAGGTTGGAAAATTAACTTAGGGCAGACAGAACGCAGGAAATAGGCGTGTGAGCAGCTTTCTCACTAGACGTCCGGGATGCACTAGCCTCCTCCCACCCGGCTAGCAGCAACTACACATTTTTCAAGTAGTGCCTATTGGCACAGAAAGTCCAATTGCTTTATTTGGTGGATAATCTGTTTAATATTTATTGGATGATGGTATCTACAAAAAGTGTTGGTCTATGCAATAGGACAACTCAAAGGCTATTAATCAAGTCAAAACACCCTGATTTAGAAGTGCTTTGCTATTAAAATGGGCCACAAGTACATAATTGGATTTCCGGCACTGCAAATATTAAGATTTTTCTCTAACACCATAAGTGCCATTTTTCTGCAATCTTTATAGTTATTTTTAACCTTGACCAAAAAGATATGGTT